ATAGAGAAGATCTAGATGCAAAAGAGTAAATTGTAGTCCATGAAGTGAGTTGAAAAGACAAAATCTCTTATCCAAGGACTTGTTACCACCTAGCATAATGACTATCATACTTTGGCCCCGTTTGGCGCATCTTACCGTGCGGTCTTTCGGCTGTTTACAAGCCGGGCAGACTGTGCCATGATCTTTTTCCATTTGGTTCGTAACAGATCTAGTCGGCAAAAGTCGATGCTCCAAAAAGATATAAGAAGCCCATTTTGGGTTGATCTTGGGAAGCTCCTTTCCCGTCGGGGATAAAATCTGTTCTCCATCCTTGATCCCTGACGAGGATGACCCGAATCCCCACAATCCCCACCCATGACCACGACCCCGATCGGAGATTCCTATTAATCCCCATCCCCGATCTGATGGGATCGGGGAAGACGGGTACCCTTCGGGTATGGGGAAAATTGCCATCCGTACTTTAATTCTTGATTTATTCTCGCATGGAAAGATGCACAGTAGCCAAAATATCTTCGGACTGCTCAGATCTTCATACAAAAGCTCAATGCATCTTTTGACTATCCGAGCTACCAGAAGATCTTCCCCATAAAACTTGCCAAATGGCCCCTTTGTTATTGAGATTCTTGAAAACATGTTAGGTTAACATTGAGAAAACAATACAAATGCTGAAAGAAATGCTTCATTAGAGAAGAGAATATGGAATGAATATCATATCGGAAGAATTTAAATTTGAAGAGATTCAAAAGGTTTTGCAACATTACCGTCAAGGTTGTCATGGGATTGATAAAGATGGGAGGTCCGTAAGCATGAATTTGTCTTTTCTTGAGATTTTGAAAGAAAATAAAGTGTAAAATAATCACATAATATGTTTAAATCGAATTGAAAAACACAAGGGTGTATTTTTTGCTCGAAAAACAAAGGATGTATCAACAGAAACTTGAAATAAATTCTACAATGCTAGAAGGGGGCTGCTCCAAAAAAGACTTATACAGGATGATAACTTCATTTACTGAACTAGACTATGAGCAGCCCTGTTAAAGAGGTCCAGGCATTAGACTTAGCCACTTCCAAGGCTGTATGTATAATAAAAAACTCCATTTCGAACTTGGACCCACAAACTTACTACCTGCAGCAACAAGGAATCTAATTGGTCAGTCAGATTCACGTTGCAAAAAGGTATATTTAAATCCATTTGTAAAGCTTTTGAAAAAAAAAAAACATTTAATAAGCCCAAGCTATGTTTAAGTTTTGTGCAAATTTCTTAAATTATCCTTAAGGCTTAGAAAATTGACTAACTCTATCCCTACTGTTTCAGTATTGTATTAAAGTATCCCTACTGTTTCTGGCAATTGTTTAAAACCTCCCTTACTGTTAACCGTCCGTCACACTAGTTCATACATGACATCATGTGACCGGTTTTTTTTTCAAAAATTCCAAAGATTCCCTTTAGCTTTCTCACACATACACTCTCTCCTCACCTCTTTCACACAGTGGACTGTCAACAAAGCCATTGACGCCAATGCATCCTTAGGGGAGGTGAGAGAGAGAGAGAGAGAGAGAGAGAGAGAGAGAGAGAGAGAGGAGCTTCTTCTAAACTCCAATGAAGGTCTCCAATTTCTGCAGGGTACACAAAAACCTCTATAGCAGTAAGTTTGTGGCTGTGTGAAGAAAACCACTTCTCTGTGTTGCAAGCTGCATAGAAGAACAAGAAGAGGAGGTTGCACCTAAACGGTAAGGTCTTCGTTGTTTCTACACCCTTGTCGATCGGAAGAAAAGCCGAACGGACCATCACTGAAAACACTACGCCATCTAAAACCCAAACTAGTGCCTAGCGCATGAACAGTAAGGTGGTGTTTCAAACGGTTAGGTCTATAGTGTAAAGGAAAACCTTCTATTCCTCCTCCACCGTTGCCTTGAACTAGCGCCTAGCACCTAAACGGTAAGGTCTTTGGTGTTTCGAACATATGGTCTCTGGTGCAGAAGCAAATCCTCTATTCCTCCTCCATCCTTGCCCAGGACCCATCCTCTATTCCTCCTCCATTGTTTCCTAGGAAAATGCAATGGCATAGATTTCTACTTCTTTAGGCTCAATTTGGAAGAACTACAAATGCAAATATGCAGAGTGTAAAGCCGTGTGTTTTATATTATTTTGTATGTATTTATATTATACATATTTGTATTTGTACTCTTTCCAAATTGAGCCTTAGGTCATAATTCTGGACAGATTCATAAATTAGGACTTTAGCTTCTTCAGGGCTTCAAAAAAAAAAAAAAAATCAAATGCCACAGTTTCAGCAGCAATGTTCTTCCTCTTCCAACGAGCACAGGGTGGTCGAGGTGGTCCAAGCGGCCTCAGTGGTCCGATGGACTTCGATAGGTCAAAATCCAAATTCTTGGAGGTTCTGGAGATTGGGATGACTTTTGTTGATGTTGCTGGTGTTGACTACATGACCTGGTTGTTCCCGAAACAATCCTGCATCAGGAATGATACAAAAGACACCTGTTGTTGTTGTTGTTGACGGTAGATGGTAGAGGCCGATTGTCATTTTCAATTGGAACGATTCAAAAGACACCTGTTAATTATAGAGTTAAAATAGTAATTTACTATTTAGCATCATTTGTTAATGTAAGGTTAAAACAAGGGATTATAGCTTATAAGGGCAAATTTGGGCACTAATATCAATAAAAGTAATATTTTTAGTAAAATTTTAAAAATAGATTAACTTTTTAAAAATAATATCAAATAAGGGCAACAACAATGTTCATCTTTTTTTTAGATCATTCATCAATGCTGCCATCCACCACCGCCGCCTCCGTCCACCTTCATCTCCGCCTTTGCCCAACACCGCCATCTCCACCTCCGCCTCTGGAGGTTCTTAGAGTGACGCTGCAAAAGCCCCTAGTCAATGACAATGTCCCATTATATGCTTCATGCTGCTGAAATGGCTCACCACCAGGATTTTATTAGCCATTTAAACAGCGGAAATGGTTTCTGATTCGATATTTTGAGCCTATCACTACTACTGTATCTTCATATTTTCATGAACTGGAGAAAAATCCTAGATCATCAAACGTGTTTTAGACCAAAGGACGACGTAGCTACGACTGAATTTCATATGGGAATTAGAATTGCAGTAAATTTCTTTAAAAAAAAAGTTTAAAATACTGGGACCTTGTCTTTTCAGCAGCGGGAAGCACATACTGGGACGTTGTCATTGATTGAGGGTTTTTGCAGCGTTACTCTAAGAACCTTCGGAGGTGGAGGCGTTGCCGGAGGTAGATGGAGGCGACGACGCTGATGAATGATATGTAAAAGGAAGAAGGTGAATGATGTAGCGCGATTTGGTCACTCCTAGATGGCAGGGGCCTCGCTCTTAGTTGGCAACGGACAACACCTGAGAAGGAGAAGAAGACGAAGGATTCCCGGGGAGCTCGACCGACGGGAACACTCCGATGCTTAAGTTAGAACTCAGTGGAGAGCTTAGAGAGTTGCGAAGAAATAAATGCTAAGAGTGAAATGCACAATTTTCGATTACCTTTGCTCCTTGAAAATCGGGGCCTTTATATACTAATGCTCTGTGAAATCGGGTGTAACCGCCTTTGATTCTCTGCTACAGCCGTTATTTGCCAGGCTGATTCGATTGGTGCAGGTATCCGTCGCAGAGTACGGTCCTGTCAGTTGAGAGACGTTATGCAGAGCTGACGTGCACGATGCCACTTAACGTGAGACGTGGGTGCAGTCCTCTGGACTGACAGGTGCTGTGCCGCCAGACAAGAGACGTGGGAGTAGTCTGACAGGCATGGTCTTGTCGAATAAGAAGTTTCCTGAAGACCCCGGGTTACTTAATAGCGAGCTCCCTTGTAGCGAACTCCTTCGTAGTGAGCTCCAATAGCGAGCTGCCTTGCAGCAAGCCGTCTTGTGGCGAGCTGTTCTGTTGGGATTTCAGCGAGCTCATTACACCGAGTTGTGGCCAAGCTGTCATTTACGTCGAGTCATATCCACGTGTCTCTTGGTTAGGAGGTCAGGTCAAATCACCCTCCATCAGTGAATGTTATTTTTGCCCTTATTTGATATTATTTTTAAAAAGTTAACCTATTTTTAAAATTTTATTAAAAGTATTGCTTTTATTGATATTAGGGCCTAAATATTGCCCTTATCAACAATAATTCCTTAAAGCAACTTTTCATGATAATAATTGTAGTAACAATACGAGTATTTTAAGACAATATTGAAACAATAAGAATAGAATTAGTCAATTTGGTAAACGTTAGGGATAGTATAAGAAATTTTTCTAATTATTTTACCGCAAAAACACTTATATTGGGTCATTGCAACGTGGCATTAGGGCTGACATCGTCAAAGAAAATCTTTCTAAAGTGAGTCCCAATCCCTCAAATTTCCATAACCTCACGTTATTAATGGCATCTGATTCTATCTTTTTGACCCATAAATTCGATGGCCAGGATCCATTCTTTGGTCGGCAGATTCGTGCCTCGTTCCTATCCTTCAATGGCATCCAATTCTCAATCAGACCAGAGGCAAATCGTATTATCAGCCGTTAATCATGGAATTGAATAACAACCCACAAATCCACAACGTAACGAGTCCAAATTGGCGCCCACCCGCGCATCTCAACGTGCATTAAGAATATCTCCCATGCAAATTCCAACGTAACTACTAAGGCGTCTCTCTCTACAACGTAACGAATCCAAATTGGCGCCCCACCCGCGTCCCACATACACATCTCAACGTGCATTAAGAATATCTCCCATAGGATAGGAGATATTCCCAATATACGGTTAGGACGTGCTGTGGGGCGTCCATGCAAATTCCAAGGTAAGTACGTAAGGCGTCTCTCTCTCTCTTTCCATTGGAACCCAAGCTTCAAATTTTCGGAAAACCAGGGGCGTATTTTAAACAATGCCGTCGTCTAGCTCATTGGTTAATCATCAGCCACCACCAGCCGAACAAGCCAACGCCATCTTCAATGTTGAAGTCTGAGCGGAAGTCTCCTCCCCTAAAATGCGCACAATAGGTATAAATTAATATCCAAATCCAGCCCTTACTTCATTGTCCAGAAAATTGGAGAAAGCGGTCTCTGGTTCTCCTCTTCTTGTAAGTCCTCCTCACGCGTCTTCCTGAGCTTCCTCTCATTAATCAAAACCAAGAAAAATTGTAGAAAATTCTCTTTTCTGTTTTCTTTAAAACCTAATCGTCTTCCTTCTGATATCTAATCTGAAATTTCTTTTAATGGATCGGTTGATTTCAAGCTCGTAAACAAATGAACTTTTTCATGAATTTATCTTACCAGAACCTGATTCGAGGATTTCGACCGCTAATCAACGTCGAAACGTTGGAACTTTAGGGTGTTTTGATCGGAATTGAAAATTGGTTTGTGTAGGATGGCACGAAAAGAGAGAGAAGAGAATGATTCCTCGGAGGAACCAGAGTTCGAGGCGGAGGAAATTGAAGATAGGCTCCAGTCACGCAGGGGTAATTGTAGGTTTCATTTGCTGAGGAAGGAGCTTGGACTAGATGCGACTCGGCGAAGCTGCGTTCGAGATAGCTTCAGTACCTTCGTTATTCTACCCGATGACAGGTACCACTCCCTCCCTCCCTCCCTCCCATCTCTCTCTCCCTCTCTCTCGTGGTCTTAATTTGAATTTCAACGGTCGTGCAGTCGTGGCAAAATGCAAGGTAGCATTTGTTTATTATTATTTAGGGTAAATTAATTGCTGAAATCTCCATGAGGTTTCTAACCATTAATCTGCCTGAAGTTTTATAATTGTAATGATCTCCCCTGAACTTTATAACATATTTCAATTAGACCCCTTTTATTAGAATCCTCTAAAAAAGAAACATTAAAATGTCCAAAATGTTTTATTTTTCAAATTTTCTCTCTATAATAATTCTAGATCACTTCCAATCTATTTCTTAAAATTGTTTTTTCCAAATTTGTCTTTCATATCAATTGCTAAAAGGTAAATTGCAAGTTTAAATTCTCTAGTTTTTGTTATTTATAAAGTTTGTATTGTTTTTTTATGTAGAAACCAACTTCAATATAAATTGTATGGGCATTTTAAACATTTCCATGCTTCTTTTTTGAGCATTCTAACAAAGGTGGCCTATTGGCAATAATTGTGTTAGAAAGTTCCGGATAGGTGATTGATTGCAAGTACCAAATTTCAAGAGAGGTTTAGCAATTTACCCAATTAAGAGTTTAGGTATTGAAGTGGCATAAGTTCAAGTATTAAAATGAGGCTATTGCAAAATGCAAGATTCTAATCAGCAATTTATCCTTTATTATTTGTTAAATAAACTACAGGTCTGAGGCTTATGTCTCTAAATTTGGTGAGACATGCATTTGATGTGGCCACTGTTAAAAAAAAAAAGAAACCTCTCTTCAAATTTGTCCTAAATATTGATACCTCGATCCCCTCATTTTTAACATAGACTAGGACTTCCCTTGTAAAATGACATGATCGGACAAACACCTTCCCTTTGTTGGCAATTTGTAAAGAACCATTTGCATATGACATCATCGGTGGGTGATTCTTTTAATCCCAAATTTGCCCCTTCAGATTATATTGGTTTTTATCTCTCGAGTTTCTTCCTCCTGAGATACCAATCTCTACACCAAACTTGGAAGCATACATCTTAGTTGGTAAGTGTAAAAGCCCAGTCGAGCAGAGCAGCAGAAAATGCAATTGTTCCTTTCTCTTGGTAAACCTAAACATCGACAAGGAGAGGATCTTCATATGTAGCCATAATCAACTTGGCATTCTCAATCACTCTTTTGAGAAGTCTGATAAGTCTCTTCCACATCAAAGAAGCACCTGTCCATCTTGTTTACAGTCAAGACAGGTCTAATCCTCTCACCAAGGGCATGTTGGAGGACAGTTTCGGTCTGGACACATGCACACTCACACAATCAACCACCACCAGCGCACCATCAATAATACGGAGAACAGTAGTGACCTCAGATGAAAAACCAACATGCCTAGGGGAATCAATGAGGTTTATAAGGTACTCATTCCCTTGTCTTTTCACCCTTGTAGTTCTTCAGAGATTCATCAGTCATCGAATAATACAGAGAAATACCAATAGCTTTAATAGTAATGATACACTCTGCTTCTTTGCGTGTATTTGTCATCCAAACATCTCCTGCAACTTCCTGAGCAATGATACTAGCTACAACCACAAGTGAATTGGTGAGTGGAGACTTCCCATGATCAACATGAGCAATCACAGACACATTGGGGATGTTGTGTTTCAGCCTTTCAGGTCCATAATCGTGTGAAGCTCCTGCACTGTAAACTTCACCATCTTGATGGATTTTTGTTATCACCCTTTGAAGAATCTGGAAGGAGGATGAAGAGAGGGGTGAAAAGCAAACAACGAGCTCTTGTGGTTGGAGTTACCTAACGTCCCTATGGTAGTTGAAGTGAAGTTTCCTGAACAACCAAAGCTGGGTTTACAATGCTATTGTTTTGTTTTTTTAGATATGGGAGGTCTGAGCTTTGAATGAAGTCTTCAGTCTGAAGCAAACACTTGACGTACGTTTAGTTTTCACAAGTGGTTAACTCAAAGAGTAAAGTAGTCATTGTATTAATTATGTCAAATAAAATAGAGTATTGTTTTAGCGGGGAGGTTTAAGGCCGGGTTTGATGATTAAGTACTTGTTAAAAGAAGTGTACTTTTTAATTTTTAAAAGTAATTGTTGTAACAACCCTTTAGGCTGTTTGGTAACTCACTTTTCAAATCACTTATTATGTTTTTAAGTACTTATTGGGGTGGGAATGTTTGATAAACTACTTTCCCTATAAGTGATTATATTTATTCAAATGACAATTTTAGTCCTCACTTCTCTCATACATATATACAATACTTTTCAATAATAATAATAATAATAATAATAATAATAATAAGTAATCATAATAATAATTATAAATAATAATAATAATACGATGAACAAGGGGAAGGTTGTCGCCGCTGCAACTCCCCTATTCTCCCTTCGAGCAATAGAGAGCATCGACAACCTCTCCTTAGTCTCTCTCTCTCTCTCTCTCCTTTTCTTCTTCTCTTCTTTTGTTTTTGTTCTTCTATAACCACTAAACCACGAACAAGACACTATTCATCCTCCTCTCCAAAAGAGAACTAGCGGCAGCTGAAGGTCTCTCTTTTAGTTCTTCGACACCTGAATGGCGGCGACGACTAGATCGAGCTTTGTTTCAGAGATCTGAGATCGAGCTACAAGCTCTGATTTAGAGATTTGAGATTGAGCCACGAGCTATGCTTCAAATATCTGACTTCAAAGCATAGAGGAAAGAGGCCAAACGACAGGTCCACCGGCCACGGTTCCTTGTCGCCGGTGGACCTACAACTGGTGCATTGCTGCTGCTAGGGTTTGAAGATCAAATGAGTAGAGAAGGGGGAGGTATAACCTCACGGGGGTATTTCAGTCATTATACAAATTTGTCAAGGACTGGTTCGTCCTAATATTTTGGAGAAGTATTTAAAAAAAGTCAACTTGAAGTTACTTTTTCAAAAAAGTACTTCTTTAAAAAAAAACTTTTCCCCACTTTTTTACCGAACATAAGTACTTAAAAACCACTTAATGTGTGGTCCCATCTCCCATGTCTTAAAAGAAAGAAATACTTATTAAAAGTATTTCAAACGGGCCTAAATCCACCACTCCTCTTAGGAGAGGTATAAGTAATTATTCACAACTTTGGGTAGATTTAAGTCTTTTACTCTAAAAACCACATTCTGCCCGTGGATTTTACGTCAATCCACGGTCGGGATTCATCTCCAATTCTGAACTGGGCTGATCAGTGATTCTCCCTTTTTTTTTTTTTTTTTTTTTCTCCCGGTTCAGTTAATACGGCATTATTAGTTACTGATAAAGAAGAAAATGCAGGTTATACGAACTCTGGGTGCATTTCATATTGATATGGGCCATCTATTCGTCATTCTTCACCCCTTTCGAGTTCGGATTCTTCAATAATGGATTGCCCAGAAACCTATTTTTCCTCGACATTACGGGACAGTTAGCTTTCCTTGTCGACATCGTCCTCCGGTTCTTCGTTGCTTACAGAGATGATCAGACCTACCAGATGGTCTACAAGCGCACTACCATTGCTATTCGGTCTGTTTCCTCTTACCTTCTTGGAACAATTTAGACAATATTACATCTTTTTCTTCCATTAAAGTAATAACAACCATAAGCTGAACTTCATGCTCAGCTGCGTTTGCTGATGTTATCTCCTCTTATAACAGGTACTTGAGGTCACAATTTGTGATCGATTTTCTGGCTTGTCTACCTTGGGATGTCATTTACCATGTAATATTCATTTTCCCTTACATTCTTTTTCTGGGTTTTCTGTTCTTTTAATGGTAATATCTGTTTCTCATGTTTGTTAATTATTCTGCAATTAATGGATTTCTGGTGCATTCCTGTATTCTAATGTTTTTGTGTTGCTTAATACGGAGTACTCATTAAATGAATTATACCCTTTTGCCTATTTTTAACGGGTAAATGGGGTTGGATGGATCTTCCTAGACTGTTGACCAAAAGAACAGGATAGCTACATCTCGAAGCATGTAGAATCACTGGCATTTATGTTAGCCATGATAGTGAGCTGATGGGTAAAGATGATGCTCAATATCTACTATTCATTTAAACAATCACAGAAAGAATCCATATGATCTCTAAGGGATGGTGGTGCATCTGTGCAGCTTCTTGTGAAAACTTGTATTCCTGTACACGTTGCTCTTCTTTCCTGTAAAGAAAGGGTTCTACATTTTAAGATTCAGATATATGTATTTTATTTTCTTCTCGAGGCATTTTGAGACTATGTAGATTTCTCTTAACATCTATTATTCATTCAACTGATTACAGAAAGAATCCATAAGATCTGAAAGTGCTGGTGGTGCATCTGTGCAGCTTTTTAACACTTATATATATTCATGTATACATTGTTCCTTTCCTTAAAGAAAGGGTTCTACACTTGCATGCATTTTATATACTTATTGGGGCATTTCGAGACCATGTGGAATGAAACATTTCATTTAAGGATTCTATTAACATATAGGAGCTTAATTTCATCATCTAATATGGATTAACTATAGGTCCATAAATAAAAAAGAAGATTCAAATATCTCATCTCTAACTTTTTTAGTAAAACCCAAACAAAGGGTTATCTCCTCTGATGAACTTATGCGTTCAAATGTCAATAAAAACTGAAGTGGAATGATTATTCTATGTGCTTATTCCACTTTATGAAACTTGTATTTTTCACAAGTTCTCAAAGAAGTTAAACATTCTCTAGGGTATATGTTTAGAAAGATACTTTCTGTTATTATTCTGAGACAATATGGTGTAACCAGGCCTGTGGACGGAAAGAAATCATCAGGTATCTTCTATGGATTAGGTTGAGTCGAGCACAAAAAGTAATAGATTTTTTCCGGAAGATGGAGAAGGACATACGGGTTAATTACTTGCTTACCCGAATTGTGAAACTTATTTTTGTTGAGCTCTATTGCACTCATACTGCTGCCTGTATCTTTTACTATCTTGCTACCACCCTGCCTGAATCTCATGAGGGGTATACATGGATAGGGAGTTTAAAGATGGGTGACTTTAGCTACTCAAGTTTCAGAGAACTTGATCTTTCAACACGATACTGGACATCACTTTATTTTGCCATCATAACCATGGCAACTGTTGGTAAGTTTGTTATTTCTAATATTTTAGAAAAAATAGCAGTGAGCATTTTGAATTCATGTTTTTTTTTCCTTTCTCTCTTCTGGTCTTGGTGTCTAATTTGGATAAATAAGAATAACAAAATGGAAGAAAACCATTGGATAGATATCATTCTAATAGGATTTTTAGAGCAAACCAAGATTAAGTGAGAATTGTAGAACCTAAGCAAAGACCATTTGCATAGATATGATGATGGTATAATTAGTAGTTCTTACATTTTATCCCAAAGTCTGTAGAATAAAATGTCTTAATCCAACTTGTGAGGGCCTACACTCTACATTGCTTCCCCTCTTTCTCTCTATAATGAATGAGTGCCTGAGATAATCTCTAATTTATTGATAGTATTTTTCATTTGATTTCATTATTGCTGATCTTTTCTTTCACAAAAGTAAGAAGAAACTTTCTTATACTCCATAACTTAATGATCATTCTGACAATGATTTCTCCATTGCTCATCTCTTTCTCCATGAGACCAAATTTTATCTTTCCCTCTCTTGATGTTTCCTAGTGTACCCGTGTGAAGCTTGTGCTAGCAGTCCATGTCGACCTTTCTTATACTACAATGATTTCACTGTAGAACACCCTTCTGCTTCTGGCTCTTAGGAACAAGTAAGCACTTGATTCACAAAGCACACTTAGGCACACTTAGGCACACTGAAGGCAATGCAGGTACAGTGTAAGCACACAAGACACTAAGAAGGAAAGATCACTTAAATTACTCAAGAGAGGGATTACATCTCTTTGCATCATGGATTACTTATGCTGTAAAGTTCAAAATATGGCAAAATTATATGAATGATTTAGCTATTTATGATACAGGTTATGGAGATATACATGCAGTCAATGTCAGAGAAATGATATTCATCATGATCTTTGTCTCATTTGACATGGTCCTCAGTGCATATCTTATTGGTAACATGACAGCTCTAATTGTAAAGGGATCAAAGACTGAAAGGTTTAGGGACAAAATGGCAGATCTGATGAAATATATGAATAGAAACAGACTTGGAAAGGACATCCGGAACCAGATCAAAGGCCACTTGAGGTTACAATATGAGAGCAGTTATACTGATGCTGCTGTTCTTAAAGATATTCCTGTATCAATTCGTTCCAAGGTAGAAAATTACATAATAGCTCATATAAATACAGTTAAATAAGTAACATAACTGACCTAGTTCTTGTCCTTAACTTCACTAGCTAGAAAATGGTTCATATGCATCTTGGTAAGGTGAATATATGATCCTCTTGGGGGACTGTTTTTGTTAGTTTTAGGGTGAAAATAATTGTTGTAGCTCAACAGCATTGTACTATGGAACCTATGAGAATTATTTAATCTAGTTCACAGAAGTCTGTACCAGCAATTCATATAACTTAGTTCATTGATGCATTGGTCCTTGTACATCTTTTTTTGGCATATAAAATTCCATCAATCCATGGACATCAAACTACTGAACAGTGGAAGACATGAATAAATATACAATATTTTTTTGCTAGGAAAATAAATATACAATATAATTTTACAGTTTTCCACCCTTGGATCCATCACTTTCTCCCTCTCCTCTCCCCTCTCATAGATATTCATGTGTATGTGTATTTCTGTGATGTAGATTTTATAAGCTAACAAGTACTATTTAGAACACCCATGTGGAGAGCCTCTTAATTTTTTTTTGCTATTTTTGAAGATTTAAGCACTGAATTGTAGTTATCCACTATAAACAGAATAGAGAGGGGTAGATCTTTGTATTTCAAGAGAATAGAGATGAGAAACATGCTATAAATGAGATCATTGAATTTGATATTTACTTTTAAGGGCAAAATTGCAGGTTAAGTTTATGAGGAGAATCACTTATTACATTAATAAATAAGGTGATACTTAGTGTATTATTTCTTAAGGTTGTTTACAGTTCTCCATAAAATTGATGTAATAAATTTCAGACTTAAATACTTGAGTTATTATTTCCATCTCTTTTAGAGTGAACATTTCACTTTGCACATTCTAGTTTATTTTGAAGTAAATAGCAAGGAAAATAAAGTTTTCAAAAGTGGGCAAAGTTAAAGCTTATATATTTCTGCTTGAAAAATTTACTGTCTATTTTACACTGAAGCAAACCTACCCCAAGGTAGGTTTGTTCATTCAGTCGGTTTGGTTCGGAAGTGGATCCGAAATTACCTAATGGACATTTTGCTTAGGCCATTTTTGGTTTGGTTTGGTTTTAAATCGGTTAATTCAGTTAATTAAAATATAAATGTATGTTATATTTATAAAATTCTACTAATATTTATTATTAAAATATATCAATATTTATAATTAAAATACATATTATTTATTAATATTAATATATATTAATGTTAAAATTAATATTAATATTATAATTAAAATGTAAATATATGTATTTGCTTTGGTTAATTTGGTTTTTGGATTGGTTCAACTGAAAAGTTTTCTCAAACTGAACTGAATTGGCTTATTTGGTTAATTCGGTTGGGTTAATTCAATGTTTTCAACCCACCCTTGACCCAACTAGTTGAACCATTCGAACCGTCATCCGATCATGATTCCAGGTCCAGTTCTAGTAAAACCCAAAAATTGGTCAGAAACTGTCCGAATTGGGTGGTTGGATCGTTGGCCCGTACCCAATGACCAGGTCATAGGCTGCACACTAAATATGTATGCAAACCTTTGGAGGTAAAAAAAAACCCTTTTGTCCTCAAGTTACATTTTCTAATATTTTTTACAAATAAGAATTAGAAACTGAATTACAAACATAAATTGAATATAAAATAATACATATGTTACATGTAGAACATAATTATACATTGTTTATTAATAAAATGTGTTTACACACACACAATATATATATATATATATATATATATACACTTAACATGTAGAGTGCTGACATGGCACAGTCTGACCCGTTTGACCTGACGGCTGGACTGGTGACCCGTGACCTGTAGGCAAAAACGGTTCGGATGGACACAATTGTCCTTGAGAAATCATGAACCAACCACTTGCTTTCTGTTGCTTTTTGTACAAAGGTAATTAGATATAGCTAGATAAATAAAAGACTACCATGGTGGCATGGTCAAAAGGGGTTCCTGGCACATCCTCCATTTACATGCATATCCTAGATTATGTAACTAGGTCATGCTGCATCTGTCTATTTCATAAATAATGTTGCATTTGTCTTCACTTATTTGCTCTCATCATTTCCTGAATAAAAAGCATTCTTGGCTGGGCTGAAAAATCATCATCATCTTCCATGCGTTATCCCAACTATATGGGGTCGGCTACATTGAACCCTGTTTCGTCAATCCGTTCTATTTAAAGCCATATCCACTGTTAAGTTGTTAGTTCTTAAATCATTTCTTACTACTTGTACCAATGTCCTTTTTGGTCTACCCCAAGCTCTTCTAGCCCCTTTTCTGGGCTGATTCTTATACCTATGATATATCTGTTCTGATATTTTCTTTTGCTTTACCTTTTGTTTTAGTTTATGTTTATTTTTCGTATGCTTTCATTGTTTCTTAATTTTTCCTATTTGCAGATTTCACAAAGAATATATAAACCATTCATTGAACATGTTTCTCTCTTTAAAGGATGTTCTCCAGAATTCATCAATCAGATTGTAAGTCATTTCATCATATACTTCATGAAATTTATATCTTCACAATCAAATGTGAATGAACAATCTTGCATGTACAGTCCTTTATGTTGAAGTTTCTATTATTTTCTGTGCTTAAGTCATTCCAATGTAATGGAGGAATGCATGGCAAATAGGATAACTTTGTGATGTCATATGTTTTTTTTTTCTTTGATAACATCAATATTTGACCTATCTGACCTGTAATATGTCTTCAATAGAAGAATAAACAGAAAAAATATGTAGAAGAGACAAGAATTGGAGTGAAAAAATAATTCCTGTGTTCAGTTTTCAATTTATAATTGTAGATATTCTTCTTGTTCATGACTTCCTCCACCTACAAAGGGGTAAAATATTATCGTGAAATGCGGAAGATGTCTACAATGTTTACTACGAAAGGTGTGTCTATTAGGGAAGGAGGCAAGGTTGAAGAGAGATTGGAGTTCCTAAATAGATGTTTAGTAGGTAGATTTGTTCACATGGACCCTTGTATCAGAGATGTGGAGATTTGGACGAGCCAAGAGTGGGGAAACCTGAGCTTTTCCTATGTTTGAAGATTGGGGGTGCCACTATTTCTGTTCAGTTTTAGGTGGAAAGAAGATATGGAAGAAGCCCTAGCAAGGAAATGGAAGGGGAGAAAAAGAGATCCCGAAGTTTTTTCAGCCGATGGTCCACTTTCCTTGTAATGGATGCAGAGAAAATGAGATTTGCTTGGATTAATGTCTATGGGATACCGCTGCTTGCTTGGAGCACAAAGGTTTTAGGGCCAATGGAAATGCTGTTGGAAGTTTTAAAAAGTTTGATTTTAGAAATAGAAAGTGGGAAAATATTCAGTTTGCAAGAATTTTAGTTCAGGCTGAGGATGTGAGATCGATTCCAACTCTCCTCAATTTATTCTATCTTGAAGAAGTCTTCAAAACTCAGGATCATAATAGTAGGTGAAGACCCATTGTTTTGCTTGAAAGACTAGGAGGTGGCAAGAGAGGCTCGCAAAGCAGATAATTTAAAGAATCATACTATCCTAGGAAAGATGTAGCGAAAGGGGATTTTGGAGGTGAAAGGTCAGGGGCTTGTAGTGTGAATTTGAAAATTTCCAAGCCCCTAGATTGAAAAGAAAAGAAAGTTTTAAATGGCGATCCAAGTGGGTCTAGTTTAAAAGATAAGTGTTGGGTCAATTGGGGTTGGGCCAAACAACTTTTTGGCCAGTTCGATTCAATAGCGACCCGACTTTTTCTTCTAGGGCAAATTTCTTAAAGTACCCCATATGGTTTAGGAAATTGGCTAACTCTATCCTTATGCTTATATATTGTCTTAAAGTACCCCTAAATTTTCTCAATTGATATCGTCGTTAAGCACTAACGGAAAAAACAAAATGTCGAATTTGCCCCCACTATTCCTCAAAATTTCAAAATAAAACGAAATGTTGAATTTGCCCTCCACCATTCCTCAAGTTTTCTGACAACTACTTTCCTCTATCAATCTTCTTCTTCTTCTTCTTTAGTTTTGAATCAATGTCTCGCCACCACTTGTAGAACCTTCATCAGTACCAGAAAGTCTCGGTCGTTTGCCACATTGTCTTCTCACCATTCCATTTTCTTAAAATCCTCTGTCTTTCCCTCTCTTCCACGATCAAATCAAATGTGGTGGCTCCACAAAAGAATAGGTCCCTTGTCATTTGCATGTCCTAGGACGGTCCTCTCTCCTCTGTCAAATTGATCCTTTAAAGCAAAAATATTGAGGTTTTCCATCCACACTATTTTTTTTTTTGTTATTTTGGGATGAAAGTTGTTTTAATTACTGGTATTGCAGTTAACAGATACTGTCAAGAGCTATGTGGAGGAGAAGGTTGGTAAGGCCGTCCAGAAGCAAAACCACCATGTGAGAGAAGTTGACGCACGGTTATCGGTTTGGGGTGGGTGAGCTTAGCGAAGGTTCCAAGCTTCACAAATGTGAGGTGCACAGCTGAAATCTTTAACATGAAAACCAACCAGCGTTAGCCAAGGAGGACATGCGAAAAACTAATTCAAGAAGCCATTCTCCTCTGAAGAGAGGATAACTATAACATGAAAACCATGGAAGTTAATGCTTATTCACATCATGTTTTGACGAGGTAACATCTTCCCACTATAAATCTAGAAAACCTCTTACACATGTGCATGTATGCATAGATTTTCATGCATTAAATGCACCAAGAAATCTGTTCAGACTTGAGCTAAAGACACAATAGAGATTCAATGGAACAGTTTAATCTTTTAGCTGGGAAATTGCCCATTCAAGAAAAATATTATTCGTAATGCTTGTATACAGGATGGGTTGCAGGGAGCATCACAAACATGTAAATTCCATCAGTAACGAGAATACTAACAAAACTTACCACAATCCTTATCTACGACTTTAGCAGACTTTAATTTTTTGAGAGAAAACCAAGTTGGAGGCAGGGTGTTGAGGTGTTCTCCTCGGCAAGGATGGACCAAAGCAGAATCCGAACACGACCGATTAAATTGCCGGAGGCATTGAAGAATCCATGGTAATCGTTAGGGTGGAAGAGGGAGATGGTAATCTCTTCATCCAGGTCATGGACACTGAATATGAACTCCTTGTTCCGGACAGGGTTTAGGGCTTTATTCACGACTCTAGTCCGGGACTTATACTTGCCAACCCAAAGCTTGACATAGAAGCCCTCTAGGGAATCCTTCACAGGAAAATCCTTAGCGTCTAATATGTACACATATAAAGCCTCATCTCTGTAACTTCTGTTTTTACTTCTTTTGCCATTGTAAGTGACCGAAAGCAAAAGAGTGCTCTAAAGAATGTTTGGGTCGGATAGAGAAGTAGGGTGGGAGGTGCTTTTGTACATATGAAGTGTCTGTTTTTCGTAGGACATAAAAGGAAAAGTGTAATGTTACTGTTAATGAGCAACATAGCAACAACGTGGAGTCGTGGACATGAAGGAAGTAACACGATGGCAAAAGATTCCACCGCTCCAGAGAGAGAGAGGGGAAAGCGACTATCAAGACTCTATAGTCGGTTCGCTTGCAGTTGTAGAGACATGAATACTGAGTCATTGAAACATTCTTTTTTTCTTTTAACATTCGTTTTGAGTACAATACTACAGTAAAAGACTCCATTGCTCTGTTATGCATGCAGTATTATGGGGCATGCAGGAAGAAAGGAATGCGTGCATTTTTTAGAACAAGGAAATATCCTTTGAGACATAGGCAGAGGGTATTTTAGGAATTTTTAAAAAATGTCAGTCACGTGATGTCACATGTGAATGGAGTGTGATGGAAAGTTAATGGCAAGGGGTATTTTAGACAATTGTCAGAAAACTTAAGGGTACTTTAAGACAATATGTAAACAGTAAGGGTAGAGTTACGTTGATCAAATCCATCTTAGCTAATCTGCCCACCTTTTACCTTTCCACCTTTAGAATCCTAGTGAAAATCGCAAAGCAATTAGAAAAGTTGATGAGGGATTATTTGTGGGAGCCATGAGATGAAAAGAAAGATCATTTGGTGAAGTGGGAACAGGTGTGTAAACTAAAGGAGCAAGGAGGCTCGGAAATTGGAAACCTAATTTAGAGGAATACAGCTCTCTTAGGAAAGTGGTTATGGAGATTTCCCTTAGAGGAAGACAAATTGTGGCATAAGATCATTAAAAGCTTTCATGGTATTGTGGAGAATGGATGGGATGCAAAACTGGCGCTTCACACTTCTGCAATTTCCCCTTGGAAGGCAATCTCTGAGGTACTACCTACCTTTTTAAATTCTATCCGTTATGATTTGGGATGTGGGAACAAAGTCGTATTTTGGGAAGACTTTTGGCTTGGTGATCTACCACTCAAACAACAATTCCCAGTACCATACTCTCTAACAAACCTCAAGAACGAACCAGTCTCTAGGATCAGCAGGCCTTCATCACGCAGTTTAAATTGGGACTTCGGGTTCAGAAGGGGGTTGAGGGACAATGAGTGTGAATTCCTTATCCTCTTACTCTCTCTCTCTCGGATCAAAATCTCTTGGGTGGTAGAGTTTGGTACCCCTCCCTTGATGGTGACTTCTCCTGTGCTTCTTTCTTTTACCTCCTTAGTAGTTCAGAACCCTTGGTAAATCTCCCGGTGAGAGAAATTTGGTACAAACCCATACCCCCTAAGGTATAGGCTCTATGTTGGGAAAGTTTCCTCAAGAAGTTAAACACCTGTGATGTGCTTCAGAAAAGAAGGCCAAATAATTGCCTCTCTCCTCATGCGTGTCTCCTTTGCAAGGCTAGTGGTGAGACCCTTCCTCATTTACTACTTTCCTGTTTGTTTGTAACTTGTATTTGGGACTACTGCTGCTCTCTTTTTGGTTGCAGATGGGTACCCCCTCAGGATGTGGCTAGCCTATTAAACTCCAGTTTCTTAAGGCAACAGAAGAAAAGGGGAGGATGTCTATGGAAAATCACAAGAGCGGCCTTGGTATGGACCATTTGAGAGGAGAGACACCAAAGAATCTTCCAAGAAAAGAGTAGGTCAATGGAGGAAGTGATTGGATACATAAGGATCAGATCTGCACATTGGGCTAAAACATTGGAGCTGTTCAAAGATGTTTCCACAAATGACTTATTATGAAAATGGCCTGAAGTGGTACAAACAAATATACACTATACCTGTTCACGGGCCGGGCCGGGCCGGGTTCGAGCTGGACTTTGCCTCTACATTAATAGAATAAGTTTAGGCCCGAGCCTGAGCCCGGCCTGACCATCAGGCCTAGGTCTTGAGCCCGAGCCCAAGCCCGGCCCGAACCTGAGTCCGGTTAGAAATTTGGAAAAAAAGATTTTTTCCTTTTTAATTCAATTAAAATCTGTTTTATTTATACTAAAAGACCTCAAAACCTAAAAAAGTAATGAAAAGTCTTATTATTACTTGAAAAAAGAGAAGAAAAATATATTATATATGTGCTTTTTTATTATATAAAATATATTTTTATTAATATAATACATTATTA